AATGAGGGATGTCAAAGAAACGCTCTGAAGCTCCACCATAAATGATGAGCTGGTGTTGGGGGAGAAAATGAAGCTGAAAATTCAGTTTACCCACACTTTCCTCAGATGCATCTATTTTTAATGACATATTAATAAAGTAGATGGATTTCATAAAAATTATGGAGTTTGGGGTTTATCACAAATCACAAGACTTCCTCCTCTCAATCCCCTAGCTAACATTAGCCAATAGATTAAACATTTTGACACTTTCGATAACTGGGCTGAAAGTTATCTTAGAACATGTTACAAGAAAAAACAAGCTCTGCTGAGGGGATCATAATCCAGATTATCATCTATTCCTCTTTCAAAACGAGAATGAATTTTACCCACGCTTCTGGTTTATAAACATTCCTGTGGCTCTACGCATCTGTGAGGAGACACAGTGCTACCAGGGGCTCTCCTCCTGTTTGCTAATTATACCAACAACCCGAACCAACTTAACACTATGCAATGTTAGGGGCTAAGGGAAATAGTCTTAAGAAAACTAAGTTGTTTGTTCAACCTTAGCTGCTTGTTCAAGCTTGGGTGGGGGGACCGCACCTACCCCCGGGCAAATGTTCCAGGAAGTTAAGCAGATAGCTTCTTGGAACATCCGTTAGGGGGGGAAATTTTTACCCCTAGCATGAGCCCCTAGGCCAATGGCTAACCTGAGCACGAGCTGTTCCTGAGTCCTGCCAGCCAATCATCAGCAAGATCACGAGCCCTAGCAGAAACCCCTGAGCCAATAGCTAACTGCCACCTTTTGCTTCCGGAAGTCGCTTGCTTGCTCGTTTCTATAAGAACCCTAGCCTGTAAGCATTAGGCGCGACTCTCATCTGCAGCCATCTTGGCACTGCTGTATCCGGAGGGACCCTGAAAGTTTGCCCCTGTGCAGGTAAAACGTTGGCCAATAAAGTAACATCTTTGAACCTCTGAAGGTCTCCATCCTTTCTCTCGCGATTTTGGGATGTAACATGCAAAACACAGCTGATTTAGCAATCTCAAAATTATACACGTATATAAATCCAGACCCAAATGTGCTGTGTTTCACTCCTACCAATGTGCATGGGATTCTTACTGGCACCTACGATTGTTTGATACAGATTTCTGAACACTAAAAAACATGTTCTGCTTGAATGGGACCATTTAGGGTCATATCTTTGTAGTTTCCTGGCACTAAGGTCTGTGAGCCTTCCTGAGGCACATCTCCTATTTGCTTCAGCAAGCATGCTGGGAGTGCCTGCAGATTTAAGCAACCACCAAAAAATATTCTGGAGCAACACTTTCCAACCGTGAATAGGAAGAGAAGCAGGCTGCCTTCACCCATGTGGCAATGAAGTCAACAGAAGGATTTGATATGATGGCCAACATGACCATAAGCAAAATCAAATAAAATCTGGCCCGTTAATGATTCCTGCCAACTACTTCCACCCAGGCAAATATGAGACAATGGTCCAATACTTCCTTCAAATAGCATTCAGAATGTATCAAAGAAAGTTAAACTAGATTTTAGTTCCATCAAGACCAGTGAACACTTTAAAAGCGTTTTTCTCAAATCCAGTGTGAGTCCTAAGTAAGAGCTGCAGCCGGGAAACCTTGCAGAATAGGAGCAAAATCCTTGCACTGAGATTCACTAGAATGTAACTTACTCGGGGTAAAGAGGTTGCTTTTTTCTCACTTCATCCCCAGCATTCAATAAGGCTGCTCAATAAATCTTTGTGAAATGAATGAACCGTTGCAACTGCTGACTCGTCCCTGGGCTGCCTTTAACTGCTATTTCTAACTCTCCCCAACAGCAGGTAAATTATTTAACTGGAGGGTTCTTAATTCCCAAAACACTGAATTGGAAAAACTGCACCTCCTTGGCTGGCTCATGAGGATCAAAGGGGATACTTTATGAAAAGGTGACTTAATATTTTATAACGGGCACACAAATGTTATCTGCCTGTGTCTTCAACCAAACCACCAACAACAGTAAAACTGCTGCCCTCCCTTGAAACAGAATTAGCTTCTCCTTTGCCCTCGTATTCTGTTTGGATGTGGTAGCGTGGCTGTTGGCCAAAATGGATGTTGTTCTTGTTATAACATTTCATTTCATCTCCACTGGGAAATTGTGCTTCTCTAGAGAAAATAATAGTAATCCAAGGAAGGTTGTTTCCTTCCGTACCGTAAGGAGCATGTACTGTAAGAAGCATGGCACTGGGGTCAGGGGGCTTAGGGACTCATCAGCTGTGCCCTCAAATATTTAAGGAAAACCAGGACTTCAGTTTGGTCATCTATACGATGACGGGGAAGGAGGACAGATTCGACGTAAGGTCTGTTTTGTCCTACAGTTCTACAGTATTCCAGACACTAGATATTCAAATGCCCCAAAACAAAGTCAGTTCTCTTATCTATTAGCATATAATGAAAATAGTTTGGTTTTTTTTTAAGAATGATGAAAACGGTTCCACAAGCTAAGTCATAGTGTCTGAGAGACAGTGATGCCACAGGAACGATGAATGTTATCCTCTAAAGAACATCTGCTTCAGGCCGTAGGCCTGCCAGTCTGAATGTCCCTTAATATACTCATGACTCAATTTTCTGATCTTTAAAAGAGAAACAAAAATACTGCATAAAACCACTGGGAGAAAATACCTAATAAAGTGATCAAAATGTAGTGCTATTTAAAGGTGCAATGCTATTTAAAATACTGTATTGTCCAAAAAAAAAAAAGGTTGGTGGATTTTAGGAGGAGACAATCAATATTTTTAAATAGACTTTTTCCATCACAGTAAAATAATAACAAATGCATGTAGATATTGTGATGTTTCTAAGAGTCCACATTTTTTCTAATTGTTTTGAAGAAATATCATGAAACAGATAACTAAAAACTTACATCTATATTTCGAGATCAGAATCCTTTCTTCTGAAATAATACATAATTTAAAAAGTGTGTCCACTTCTCCCAACATGTTTTGTTTGTGTTGTTGATGCTGTCTGGTTGGCTGGTTAATTGAAGTTAAGCGGTTGGAAGTGGTGCCGAAATTAAAGTGCCAGTACTAAAAATATTCCCAGCTAGTCATTCTGCTGACGTCCTACACATGCCTACTGAGGGGAAGTGGCTCTAAGATCAACTCAGCTAGAAGGTATTCTGCCTTCTAAGCTCTAGAATTTCTTTTAATTATGGTGTCAGCTTCAGGATTTTTTAATCTTTATTTTACTGTTGTATCAGCTCCTACGGAGCCCAAGGAATGTTGTGACTGTTACCTGTAAGATTCTCTTACTGCTCCCTCCATTCAAACACACAACATGGTAGACAGTAGATACAGGTTCCCTGTCTCACTTAAAGGACTCCGCCTCTTGACCAAGAAATGATATTGTCATTGATATTTATGAGAAAGTTGACGTCGCTGGCAAAGGTTCCCCAAATCTGCAACACTGCCTCTGTATCACCTAAAAGGCCAGTAACAATAGCAATCACAGCGCATTAACTCTTAAATAGTGATTTTATTTAAAAATCTATAAATACCTCCGGCTTTTTAATGGCAGAAGAGTTCATTGTGGCCGTTCATGTAGTAATTACAATCCCCTTGCAACCTCAGGTAATGGCTATGACCTTGCTCTAAAAGCCACCTGAGTTTGAGTGAGGTATACTTGAAACGAGAGGTGACTGACTAGAAACTCTTCATTAGTCTTATTTTTAAGAGGCACATGATAAATGATCATTTCTAAGGAGTATTTAATGTATGATGATTTGCTATCCTAGTTAAGTTCTTTATTACAAGATGTACTTAAATTACTTTTTAATTAAAATAGCGTAAGTCACTTTTCATGCCCTTCCCCTAACTCCCTAACTAAATCCAAACAGAAGCCCATAGTTTTAATACAAACTCCTAAGGCAGTGAAGCCAAGATATTTACACATTTTTTAAAGCCCATTTCCTGAGTTAGTGCTTCCCGTCTTCCTAATGAACGTCATCTGTCTCTGGAAGGAGAGGAGGGGTCCAGGAGTCCGCTTCTCTGGAGCTGGCCGCCTTTCGTGTCAGTCGTCTGATGAACGGGTGTGCATTGCGCCTCCCCACTGCCCTGCTCCTATTCGCTCAGCAAGCGTTCTGCCAGGGCGCTCCGCTGACTGAGAGTCCTGAAGGCATCTGAAACGTATCCCGTTCCAGCCCTGCTCCTAGGAGTCTCGCCCCACCCCCCACCCTTCGTGCTACTGTCCATCTTAAGGCCGCGGGGAAAGAGAAGGGCGGGGAGCGTTGGTTTATTGGATAATGGAGATTTACAGGCTTGGCGAGTTTGGGAATTTATAGGTGAGCAAGATACATGGGGGCATAAAACACAGTTGTGTTTGGGAGAGAGGAGCTATGACAAATTCGTACCTGTAACCGCTTAGCCAGATCTGCACCTGTGCCCTCCACTTTCCACCTGAGTCTAGGAAATTCTGCACCCCTTGGCCTTAACCTCCGAAGGGTGAGGAGGTGGAATCGGGCAGCCTGCAGCACGTCCTTCGGTCCCCGCGTTCCTACCCCTTGGACTTTTCGGCTGCAGGGATGGAAGGTGGAGGCGGGCGGCCGGAGCTACGGGTCTCCACAGCTGGCTCCCAGGGGGGAGGCGACGCCGCAGGCGGCAGCAGTCCCAGAGCCCTGACAGCCTTCGCCGAGGGGTGGGCTGTGCTGATGGGGAACACGCGGCGTCCAGCTTCCCATCACTTTCCCAGTACTTTGCTCATCCCCTGTCACGCTCTCTGGAGAGGAGACCAAGAAGGTGGGAGAAGGGCCCACCAGGCGTCCCCAGGAGACCTCTCCTCTTGGGTTGGGGGCCCATCAGACTGCGCCCCGCCCTGCCCACCTTTCCCAGCCCCCGGGAGGCAGCCCGGGCGCCCGCGCCGCGGCTCCCGGCACAGCTCCGGGTTCTGCTGCATCTGCTGGCGCGAGAGGCGTCTGCACTAAAGACACGGATGAAAAGCCTGGGTAACTGAAACCCGACTGCACCTCTTACCATTGGACCGCCGGACAATATTCTCCAGAAACGTGTTCTGCGGGGCCACCAGTCCTCTCCTGCCCCCGGCCATGGTCATCCTCCCGGCAGCTCAGGGTCTGGTGGTGTCCCGGCGCAGCTTCTCAAGGCAGCGGAAAGCCGGGCGCGGGGCCGGCGCGCGAGCGCGGCTTGAAGCGCCTCATGCGCCCCACGGGGTCCGGGCGGGCAGGGGCGGCGGATCCCTCCCGCTGCCACCCTCCAAACCTCTTCGCGCCTCCCTCCTTGCGGCCCGCCTCGCAGTGCACTCGCGTGGGGCTCGCCTCGCCGCAGCCGACGCCGGGTGGGCGGAGGGAGCGGCAGAGCCTGGGTCCGCGGCGCCCCCTATCGGGCGCGTCTTCTCTTCACCCCCCCACCCCCCGCGGGCCTGCTGGAGACCCAGCCGGGGTCCCGCGGCCGCAGGGAGGCAGCGAGGCAGCGAGGCAGCGAGGCAGAGACCTGCGGTTGGCCAAGGCTGGATTGGCAACGCCACCCTCTGGGCACATCCGGTACTTGTGTTCAGTGCGCCTTGGACTGGGTAGAGAGCGGGGCCAGAGTGAGCAGCTTTGGTAGCGGATTCACTCCCAAAAAAGTCACCGCGAGTCTTGGGGTAGCGTGATAATGTACCGGTAACTCTCTGTCTTTGCTCTGTTTCAGGCCAGAGCCCCTGAGACTTCTGATGCTCTTGGAACACCCTCCTTCTCCCTCCCCGTAGGGTTTCTTAGCCTCATTTGTGAAGGTGCCCCACCTTGATTGCGAAGCCACTGTTGTACCAGTAATTAACGAGGTTGTGTTGTAGGAGGGCAGACTTGCAGAGTGACTAACTGAGCTCCAGAAGAGCTGTCTTGAGTTGTTTTTAAAGGTAACCAAAAGTCAAATGCAAGGCTCTGGACGTTTGCTAAATTTTGCTGGCTGGCTGACCTGATTTCTACTCTTATCTAATGAGTATTTTTCCCAAAAAAAGCCAAGAAAATATATGAACATATACATAACTTTTTTAGCTGAAGCACACGCTGTTGTGATCAATGAGGTTAGGGAACAGGAACAAACTGTGTGACAAATATCAGAACGAGGGGCTTGTTCTCTGAAGGCAAAAGCTTGGGATAGAGGATAGGGTGGGGTGGGCAGCTTCCCAAACATTTAACAACGAATAACCTCCCTGTTGACTTGAAGGGCAGTCCACACTGCAAGGATGAGGTGCTGGTCCTCAGGCCTGCCCCTGGTATAACAAAGATTTCCATACTCTGAAGGGTTTTGGGTAGGAGCTCAGATGACCCTCCTTTGTTCACTGATTTGGGGACATTTCTCCCTGTACATATGCTTTACCTCTCCCTTTACTATGTGCCCCCTTGAGTATGGCCAGAGACTAAGTCTATTTCCCAACTCAAAAGGAGTGAGTTGATAGTTTTCTAGTTTGCTCCAGGCTAGGTCAACAGTCAACATTAAAACAAAAGAGGAAAAAAACTGGAAACTGCGCCTGCAGCCTCAGTGGTATGGTCCTGACACATCCTGTTACTATATTGCAGAGACCCTAAGTTTATTAGTATCTGAAATAGAACTAATTCTTGCCCTCCAATCTCTGAGTCACTGTGAAGATCAAATGTAGTTATGTATCCCAAAATGTAAAATGTAGTCTAAATTGTAAAGTGCTTGTACCAAGGACAAACATCATTACAGGGACTAAATCATTGGTCCATTACAAATATCACCCTTCGTCTCATCTTGTGTGGACACAAAGTAAACTTACTGCTTTGGCAGAGTTAGGTAAGACTTGCATAGGAACTGAAGGTAATGAAACGCTTCTTCCATGTGATAACATTCTACCCACACTGCAATCACCCAATTTAGAGCTGTGATTTCTTAATCCCTAGCTCCGTCTAGTGGTTCTTTGTTCTATTACAAATGAGGAAACAAACAGTGGTTGAAGAGAATTTAAAATGTGTTTGGTTCCAAGCTGGTTCTATGGTGTCTGCCCACTTCATTTGAATAAGCTCATTTAAATAAATACTTTATCTTATCTACCACACAAACATGCCCAAGGGGGGATTTTTCAAGACAATATTAAAAACCCACCAAGCAACCTCAGAATCCTGCTTGAGAAAGGCAGATAAAATAATGGGGAGAAAGCTGTCATCAAAAGTTAATAAAATTTCTCAGATTTTAATGAGCTCTCATATTCTGTGACTCCAATAAAAAGGAAACAGTTGCTATTCATTTGAGGCTGTTAAAGCCTTGGTGGGCTACCTGATAAGAAAAAGGAACAAGGAGATATCTCCTATTTTAATCTTAAATGCAAAACTATAGTGGTTCTTTCGCACACTGTGTGTGTGAATGTGTGTTACGATTTACAATACTATTATTTTCCTGGCACACTTGAAGAGATTTAAAAAACATCAAACAACACTAAAAAGTCAGTAATCTTTAACCACCATCACTCCTGAGTATGGCAGCATCTCACAGTGCCCACGAAAGCACATCCGCCCATTCCCCCGTACCCTTGGCCAACCCTCAGCCTTAAATGCTGTGGGGATAGAGTTGCGTTCTGCCCTGCCCACATCCTCTTTGACATTCCCAGGCCAGGGAGGCATGTGTTCAGTAAACACACCACCTTTCTTGGGGTGGTTTGACAATGCACTATGCTACCTGCCGCCTTCTGTTCCCTACTCCACCTTCAGTTCCAGGACCTGCTCCATTCAAAGTTCTGTCTGAGCTCTAGCACTGTGGTGTAGGAATCTCAGATCAAAATCTAATCTTACAAATTTGTGAAACTTTCATAATACATTAGTGAAGATTTTGCGATACACCAATGTGCTTTGGCAGACCAGTTGAGAGCCCTTGTGTTTTCTACATACCGGACAAAGCCAATTTGGGTTTAAAGGGGTAACTTTAAATAACTATGACCTGAGTTTCCAATTAAACTCCCTCTTCCCCTCTCTGCAGAAAGTCCCTAAAACTGCCTTAGAACTTCTACCAAGAAAGATACAGCATTTCAAATAAAATCGTATGCAGTTTTATTCTGATGTTTCTTGCTTCCCTTCCTTCTCAGTGGCTCTCCTCTGGCCCTCCCTCCGTATAGTGTCTACCCATCAATCATCACACATGCTTACGTCTCCATCACATAGTAGGTAGCAAGCTCCTTGAAAGAAAGGTAAACTTTACCAATTTCTGTTCTCATAAATGTAATTAAGCCATGCTGTAATTAGTGGGCTCACAAATGGAATCGATAGTGATGGAGGCATAATGCTACAGAGAGAGATTGGAGACTCTGCAAACTGGCTGCAAAAAAATCCAGAAGATGGTCAAATACACTGCTCAACAACACCACTAACAAAACTGTCAAATAAAGAAGGCAATGCCACATGCCAGAGGGAGTGAATGGCATCATGCAAAGACAAGAATTACATTTTTGACATGTTTCCTTTATTCCTCTTTACCTTGTATTAGGTAGAGATGACATTTTTCAGAAACCCTAAACCCATTGCACAGAAGAGAGTTGCCTGCGAGTTCTGGGTGGAAGCAGAAATGAACAAGCAAGGAGGCTCCATCATTAGCAAACCTTTAGCATCATTAGGAGAAGCTGAACCTGGAGGTGACTTTACCTATTCAGCCAGTATAAGTGCAATACCGAAAAGAGGAGGGACTTTCAGCATGGACAATTTCGTTTTTTATAACCCAATGACTGACTTATTTATTATATGTAATTTCTTTTAACAAAATCTTTCTCTTTTTTTTAATCCTCACCTGAGGATGTGGGGTTTTTTTTTATTGATTTTAGAGAGAGGAAGGGAGAGAGAGAGAGAGAGAGAAACATCGATTAGTTGCCTCCCGTACGTGTTCCAACCCAGGATCGAATATACAACCTAGGCATGTGCCCTCACCAGGAACCAACTGGAAACATTTCAGTGCACAGAACAACATTCTAATCAACTCAGCCATGCGGCCAGGGCAACGAAAGTTTTCTAACAGATTTATAGGAAGAGAGCTGAGCAGGCCATAGCCATTGGAACAAGCTGTCCTGCATGACAGCTATCTCCACAAGTGCTGGGAGAAGGAAGAGATGCTCCTGGACAGGACACAGAATCATGGATCTGACTGACAGGGGAAATGACGCCTGATGTAGGGCGATTCTCAACTGTCACTAGCCAATAGGAATTTTTAAATGTTTGTAAAATTAGGTTATAGCCTTCGACATGCCCAAAGCTATTATCCTTCTTTCTCGTTTTCTGTTATCAAAAGGGAACAGGATCTTTTACCACATCCCCACTCATGGAAAACAATTGGATGGCATTTATCACAGCTTAATTTTATTATAACAAACATTTGCTCAGAGTCCAGCATGTGCCAGACACCGGAGTAGATTCTAATGGTGGAAGCATGGTTATGATGGGCACCTGCCCTCAGGAAGCTCAATAAACACTTAGCGAGTGCTTAGCTTCTTTACGACTTCTCTCCTTTTGGCTACTTTCCCCTCCCAGTTGTGCCCTGTAAATCGTGCTTTGTCGGTGAACTACAGTTCAGCTTGATCTCTTCACTGAAGACTCTCCCCTGTCCTCTCAACTGAGGCTTGGCTCTCTCCTAGGGTCTTGGAGTGCCACAGATCCTGCTCCTAGAATCCAGAAATTGAAGTGAGAATCCACCCAGTTCCTCACTACCACATCCAGACTACCACTCTTCTACATCTATGTGAAATATTCCCTTTGAAGTTCATGATCAATAAAAATAATGCTTTACTCCTCTGTACTTTTTTAAAAATAGATTTAGGGGAAATGGAATTCAGTTTCTAAAAAATCAAGATGCCTAAGAGACACTGTAAAGAAATATCGAGTTGGAAGTTGAATACACAGGTGTGGAGCCCAAGAGAAACATCTGGGTGGAGTCAGAGGTTGGAAATCACCAGGTTGCAGCCTCCAAGGAGACTGAGAAGGAGCAGTCTGGAAGCAGGGACAACCTGGAGAAGCAGCAAAGTAGGTGCCCAGAGGGGGTGAATCTTTAAAGGGGAAGAGCGAAGAACTGCATCCCACACCATGGGCTATAAACACTGGAAAAGGTCCACTGGACCTCATAGATAGAAACATTTTCATTGCAATAGTGGTGAATAAGCCAAATTACAATG